GGGGGGGGGGGGGGGGGGGGGAGGTCGCCAAAAAAAATTTTCCGGGAAAAATTTTTTGGTACTAGTCGGGCAAAATCACGAAAAGTCGGGCAATTTTATGAAAAGTCGGGCAATTTTCTTTCCGCCCCCCTAATTTTTTCCTTCCGGTACGCCCATGTATATTTTTCAGGCAGTTCAGTGTACTGATCATTTACACCACAGTTGTCTGTTATCATTTCGGGCTATAGAACTCAGGCGAGGCATTTTTCACCTCCTTTTTGAAAACAACGGTGTTCGGAATAAAATTTTGATATGTCAACGCGGTCGAAAAGTATGTTTGTCGGTGTGAGAAAAATAGATAATTCAATTCTAAGAAAGGTAATTCAATTCTCAGAAAACTAATTCAATTCTACTTTTTCGGGGATGGTTAACTGGCGGTCATGATCATATTAGATTAAACAAAGATATGTCGATTCTAGATATTGTCGGCATTTTGTCGGCATGTCTATATATGATCTGTGGGTCTGGAGTAGCGTAAGTATACTGATTTTCTGATCATTATGAGGTACCAAATATAATATCCTGCATAGTTTCTCTCGTTTTATTTATTATTAATGGTAGTATATTACAGTATTAATACTATGGTAACTATACAGGGTGTCTCAAAAAACCCCAAAATCATTGAAATAACGTATTGTTCGAATTTCAATGCCGTAACACAAAGGATTTTGACAGGGTGATTAATTTGTTTTAAAAAATTAAAATATCTTTGTAAAGTGAACGTTTGTTTGCTCATGGGAATTTAAAAATGCTTCGTAAATTCGTGGGTTTAGTACTTATGCCTGACATAACAAGTTTACGCTGAGTATTACCATTCATTATAGCAGTTATGTCAATCTTTTATGCACTCGTGGGATTAACTTAGTGCTAGGGCATTGAATATCGAACAATACGTCAATTTCAATGATTTTGGGGTTTTTTGAGACACCCTGTATTAGCAATTCGATTTCAATTCCCAGGGGCCTAAAATCTTTTATGCTTAAGAATTGCAAAGTGATTTCTTAGCAAATTCCGAGGTTGCGTTTTTTTTTATACACCCTGTACAGTGTGTATAAAAAAAACTGAACCCTTTCAAATTCAAATTAGCTATAACGTATTGTAGTTATTTTTTCATCTCTAATTGCTTTGAATTAATGGTTGGGTAAGAACACAAGGTCTTGTACTCATGGGACGAAACTCAAAGAAATAAAAATTAGAAAATTTAAAAGTTTTTAAGAGTTTTGTCCCATGAGTACAAAGTTTGTTTTGTTCTTACCCAACCATTAATTCAAAGCAATTAGAGCTGTCAAATTACTACAATAGTTATAGCTAATTTGAATTTGAAAGGGTTCAGTTTTTTTTATACACCCTGTATAAGTGTTAAGTTTGACCTAATTTAACACGCTGCCTTAGTTTCTCAAAGCGCAGAGACGTAATAGAGACCTTACGATTTTAGGACGGCAACGCGACGGCAGCGGCTACCAATACAATAGATCATTGAAGAGAATTGAGTAATTACAATACTGTATATGAATAATTTAGTGTGCAACTTCAAACTGGGTTTAGCAGAACTCTTCCCAACCATAAAACCCATGTCTTCTTCAACTTCTAAAACTGTATTAAATTCATATGATTGATAATATACCACGAACTATCTTTACTACCATTTATTTGAAGGAGTTTGTTTTGGCCGTCGCGTTGCCGTCCTAAAATCGTAAGGTCTCTAATCTCATAATCCAGATAAAAAATGGAACCGCGAACTTCGATGCATTAATATTTGGGTCTACGTTGGCGCACGTCATGCGACCAGGCCTTCTTCGCCATATCTCACAGAGAAAATAGACTGCAACAAGCGGAAGAGATCGTTTAGTGAAGTACAAGCACAGTACATAAATTATACTTTTGTTTATGAGTACCATTTATTTATTTTCAAGCAACTCTCTTTCTATATAGATCAATCATCAGACACAAATTCCAGTACTATGTCCATGAGTATGGCTCTTTACATCTTCCTACCCTTGATCCTCTTGGCATTAATAATCGTCATAATTCTGCTTGTACGCAAAAACAGAGCTTCTAAAGATAAAGAATCTCCAAGCAAAGAAAATAATAAAGGGATGGAAAACCATGAGAACGATAACCAAACATTTACAGAGAGTGACGGATATACAGAACTGCATCACAATCGCGAGCCCGACAATACCTATTCATCTCTGAACCTTTATGAAAATCCCGATGAAGATTCTGTGTATGTGATTGGTAAAAATATCAACTATGTCAATCCAGACGCACAACAACGTTCTTCGTATGTGATTCCCCCGCCTGGTCATAATTATGAAATTCCAGACAACTGATAATGTGTATTACACTAGTGGCGGACGGTTATCGCAAGAACAAAATATAGTAATGAGTAGAGAGAAGTGATCAGCTTCTTGTATTGCGAGAAAAGAACTGTGCCCTCTGTAAATAGTGATGCAACTGCCTGAAAAATACAAAAAGTCGAAGATCTAGATCTTTTACTGGTACTTTTCAGGTAGTTGCATCATGTACAGTCTACATCTGCATGGCACCCCCTTCTTGTATTTTGACTGTAATTTATAGCATATGTCAATTATTTTACAACTTTGTAACTCAGTTATTCAGCTACGATTCAAAGGGTTTCAGAAATTATTGGGGGCAGTTGTCCCCTTCCCTTAGTGTCTGCCACTGCACCTTAGTCCTTTCTGTTCTAAAGAGGCGATGTATACAGGAAGCATTCAGTAATTTAAGATTCAATATAGATAAATATGCATGGCAATATTCCATATAACTATGATAGTCAAAAATGAAGTCACCATGACGGCTCGCGCTATTCTGCCTGGTATTTTGCCAGGAAATTGGTAGTTTTCAAATTAATGAGTGAAGGTTTTAATGGGAGTGTGTAGTATTTTACGATTAGTGTGAACAAAAACGTAAACAATGTTAATTGTTCTCTTTGAAGACAAGTCTAGCTCCTACGTCTCCAAATGCGATAGAGTGGCGACAGAGAATGCGGACAATGCAAACGTTCATTGCCTGAAAAACAACCGAAAATGCTCTCCCAATAGAAATTATTGGGATGGAGGAAAGGGTTGCTCCTCCCCAACAACCCCCACCCCTAACCCACATTATGAACTTGATCCTAATGTTGACCGTAACATTTACGTTATCCATTCCCTACTCAAAGCATTACTTTGTGCTTAGCTTGAAGCCTAACAATATAGCCTCAACAAGCGTATTTTAACGCTAATATACTTATCCAATGATCGAGTTGGGACAGGCGTCGAAAAAGATCGAGACTGCTGACCAAAAGGTAAGTATTATAAGTAAAATATTCTCCAGAAATATGCTGTAATACCCCTTCCTTCGTAAAGTAAAATAGTCTGGCGTTACACGGAATTCATGTATGCCTGGTAGGTTTACCATTAGACCCTAAAGTTGCACATGCATGGTGGTCACGAAAGGGATAACTTGCACTCTCTTAGCAAAGTTTAACCTGCACAAAGTTTCACCAACATTCTTGAGTGCTGGCGAAACTTGCACCACCATGCATCAGCGTCTTGGAATCTCCATCTTTAAAAAATATATTTTTTACACAGTTATTTAATTTACGGTGTAAAATTAATGCTTGAATCAAATGTCTTTGTAAATCGGCGTTATGCATATATATATATACTGTATAGTACCCCTTTGTTTTACCAAAATCCCTCTGTCTTATAACTTTAACTTCATTTTCTCCGAAACTGGCAAAGTATGAGTCAACTTGCTCCATCGTAACATTTTATAATGTGCCAGAGTTCCATTTCGGCAGATTGACTTTATAAAATAATTAAACCTTTGAACAATAAATCTCGTTTTGAGGTTACGAGTGGCATGTTAGGGGTACAGTTAACTCTAGGATTAGGGTTAACCCTAGTCCTTAGAGTTACGGCAAGTAAGGGGTTAGGGTTATCTCCAGGGTTAGGCCGGTTAACAATTCTAAATTTAAGCTGCAGCTACCATGAACCGGATAGGATTTTTAAATTTGTAATTGTAAAATGCCAAAAAAATATGCAGGCCTAGGACCGGTTGACATATAAAATTCGCGTATTGATGAAGCACTTAATTTAATTATAGAATAGTGGTTAAGAATAGCCGAGAGTTATATACAATTGTCAACTTGTCCCTGGTCGTCAAACGTTTGCGTGAACACTATATGAATTTCTGATGCGTTCGCACACTTCAGTGACATCCGTAGTGTTGATTTCTGAAATGTCTGCCCCACGCCCAAGAGGCGGAAGGGGAGAGAGAAGCCAGTGAAAACTGTAGAAATTAAAACCTCTTTCTTGCGTGCTAAGAAATCAAAATGCAGTCAAAATCAACGCAAGTACTAAGTGCTTGTTTTGTAAATGTTGTGTAAGAAACTTTAATCATATTTCATATTGAATCACGAATTACAAAATGTGAATTATTCTTCAGTTCCCAAGTTTTGGATTCTTAAAGTGCATATGTTCATTTCACTTTCTTGAAAAAACAAAGCAACCAACTTGACGTCAAACAAGAATGAGACATCAGTAAATGCTTTATTTCATGGTTTGTATTTCACAAAATCATTTTGGAACATATTTTAAAACCATGCTGATCCTCAAATAGATTTGTTTCATGTTAAAAAGATAATTAACTAACATTTCGCATATCTATATGACATCAATTAATATAATTTCAAGTTAGTTGCATTGGTCAGCTTTTTAAAGAAAATGAAATATCTCGAAAACGGAACATGAAAATAGAAATCGGAAAATTTCACTTTACCCTCACAGAATAGAGAGCATAAGCCAACTCATGCAGCCAAAAAAGCGTAACTGCCACCTTGCCATGATTGGTCATCAAAATGTACCATGCATGTTCCTTGCCAGTCCATGCGCTTACGAGAAGCATTCAGCCCCGTGAACGTCCGCCTTTTCGAACATTCCAGAGAGTGGAATGCCTCCATAAGCGCACTGGTTAAAGGAACATAGCGACAGCATTGCAACGGTTACGCCAAAGTCATAGGTAAAATCGAGAAGTCGGCCCAACCTCCGTCGCAGGGACTTTCCACCAATCTCGTTCCCCGAGCCTGCGATCCTCGGGAAGGAACGCAAGGCTCTGGGATAATCCGTTTCAGGGAGGAATCTGATTGGCCATTGAAATGGAATGTGTAATTCAATCTTAGCCAGAATTCTTGGCTTCCGGCAATGGATTATCCCAGAGCCTCGCGTTCCTTCCCGAGGATCGCAGGCTCGGGGAACGAGATTGACTTTCCACCTGCTGGGAAGACCCTGCTATCGGCTGGTCACGTGTCTCCCAGAATCTGGGAGATAACAAAATAATTTAATTAGGGTGGGTAACTAAGTACGTTTTGTCATTGAGCAAGGAGTGAGCGAAGAAATAACGTAGAAATCATGCAGGAAATGTTTACAAGATCGTGTATTTTATTTCTCCTGAATACAATAATGTTACATAATAATGAGCATCAATTTCATTGTGCGCAGAATGTTGGTGAGCAAAGATAGATCAGATTTCAATAGACAAATTTGCCGATACAGCTCGTAGTCGTCGAAGAAATTAACACGTCGAAAATGTTACAAGAAAATATATTTCTACACTGGTACCGAGCGACGTGGCTGTTATTTAGCTGTTGATATCTATCCTAAAGGATTTATTTAATACTGAGATGTATAACGAAATATAGAGATCTTTTGATTTCTGAAATATCGCAAACTATGTTGCTTGTAAACAAATTATGCTACTCGGACTGCTGAAGCTTCAGAACCATCCTCAACAAGAATCTGTTGAAACTTGATGCTGAAGAAATATGTCGAAGTATACCTCCCTGTTATCAAACCTACGGTAACATAATCCGACAATAGCCTACTGAAAGATAAGTCAAAGACTCGTTTGTGCGTGTATGTTAATACAAATACGAATACTGTATATGTTTGACATTTAGGACCGATTTAGAGAATGCACAGACCGCATGATAAATTTGATAAATAGCTTTAATTGTGACATTATAGCTTTACTGTAATGAAATTACTGTAATGAAGTACTTTGTGAAATATATTACTGAATGAAACTCTAAGACTATGTAAGTGGTATATCTGTGGTGGGTACATATGACTGCATGTGCATATCAGACTGAGTGATAACAGTGTTTATGCCGTGGTTTATTCCGTGGTTTATTCCGTGGTTTATAGAATTATCTATGACTATGTTCATATTATAAAATGTGTACTGTATATCAGAAAAATACTGTTATAAATATTGCTGTTAGTCTGTTACCCATCACTAAGTGCATGGAGGTCAAAAAATTATCAGGCTAAAGCCGTGATTGTATATACCACCTGATGATATACGCCCAGAGGCTGAAAATTGTTGTACTTTACTACCTGCCAACCTCCTACCCTACCGATCTACAGGGTTTTTTAATAAATATGTATTTTAATAAATATTTAATTAAACGTATTTTCAAAGATAAACTATCGACAGTTTTAAAGTGAGCATTTAGTCTCTGTTCGGCAGTGTCCACATGTTTACATTGTGATTTGTGACAAAAATTAATTACATTACAATAAAAATTTTATCAACCTTCACTAAATGAGACGCGTACCATTAGTAAATCAAACAACAAATTTAATGGCATATTTTAGGAAAAAATAAAAGTGAAAAATAAATGTACAAACGTTGACGACTGACCAGTTTGATATGAAAATATGTTTCAAGAGAATACCCAACTTCAAAGTTTAAAATATACATTTTATTTGTTTCTTGACTTGACTGTTGATAAAATGCTACAATGTTTTTGTAATTTAAAATCAAACAGACTTATAAAAAAGAAGTTAGTGGGCCCTTCGAACTATATCGTAAAATCCCACTCCTGGTATTTGAAATTTAACGTTTTCTGTGGCAGCATGTAATTTGATACTTTGCCACTCCCCCTTGGGCAATTAATTTTTGTACAGTCACGTGACCAGCCGATACCAGGTTCTTTCCCAAAAAGACCCTCTATATTCATTACATTAGTATTTGGGGCTTTTCAGTGAGCGATTACATCAAGTATTACGCTTACTTATATTACTTATATTACTTACTTAGCTTAGACTATTTATCTTGACAACAATTGTGATAACTTCCCTTAACTGTGTTTATGCCAACCCACCCTATCAAATTTCCCTATCGGAGGAAACCGGAGCGCCTAGAGAAAATCCACGATTTCGACAGAGCATTGACAGACTCTTTTAACATGAGTCTTTAGTGAGAATAGAACCCACGATTTCAGAGGGTCCTGAAGGGGGGGGGGGTCCTAATCCCATTTCCCACCTGAAATTTTGGCAAAATCCCAGTCCCAGTTGGATTTTTATTAGAAATCCCAGTCCGTGTTATTGAAATCCCAGTCAATAAAAAAACGTTATTTATCGGTAGAATAAACAATTTTAAGACCTTTGCCCGGTCGCCCGAAAAAAGTGGGTACATGAAAACGTAAGCTTCCGCAGTGTTTACAACCGTCAGTTACGTCTCTATATGTCTCTACTCTGTGGTTGTGCTTTGCCTTTGAGGTATATACTAAGGGTTAAATGAAGTATATACCGCAAACCAGGCATATATTCCGCTGTGCATCTGACTTGGGGACACACATAATCAGAAAACCCAGAATTGCGGACGCCTGAGTATGCTTGTTCGCAGGTAGTGCTGTGAATAATATAACTATAAACAACAAAAATCATGACCAAAGACACCAAAAACGGATCAAAATTGTATTTTAAAATACTTAAAACGTGGAAAAATTTGGGAATCAACTCGCATTATACCTCAATCCCATTCCCATTTTTGAGGACTTCATTTCCCATTCCCAGTGGCCAAATCCCAGTCCCAGCAACCCAAATCC